ATATTGCAGCTGTTTTTCGGACTGGGACAGTTTTGAAAAACTTCTATGTACTATTTTCCAGAAAAAAAACCAGAAGCCCCCGGGAACAAATTTTAATATAAATAATCCTTAAAGCGTAGTTCCCTTTGTTATCACTAAGGGAGCGTATACTAATCCACACCCATGTTCTCAATAAGAAATTGAACATGTGTTGATTTAGAAAAATGTTTCCTGAGAAAGCAGCCAACACAAATGGTACCGATAGCCTACAAAATTGATGGCAAAGTCTAAAAAAATGTCCAGTTAACTACCTACAGAAAAAAATTGTCTTGGGGCTTAAAAAATTGTTTCTGTTGAACATAAAAGTAGTTCTGCTGCCTTACGATTTTTTTCTGTAGAAAACAATTGTGATATGTACGACTAAAGTAGTCTTCAGTGGCATAGAACAAAATTCGAAGCCGATAGGTTTTGTTTTTTAATAGAACGAATCTTAAATGAATATATATTCTTGTTATAATTAAGGAAGCGTATGCGTAACGACAGCACTAATCCGCACCCATGTTATTAATAAGAAATTACCATTGTGCACCTTTAAGAACTGATACTTTCCCAGTCTGCACCATATTTTCATAGAAAAAATGGTACCGTTGGCCTACAAAAATGTTGATATTGGAAAAAATTGTCCTGACGACTTACAAAATGTCTCCAATAAAAAATAATAATAAAAATCTGAGGCCTATACAATGTTTTCTGTTGGGAAAATGTGGTTCTGCTGCCTTACGATTTTTTTCTGTGATTCTGCGATTTTTTCTGTAGAAATACGAGTAAATTGCGATCTGTGAGACTCTGGGACAGTTACGTAGCGACAACACTTATCCGCCACCATTCACTCAATAAGGAAAAACATTGAGTACGTTTAAAAACTGAAACTTTTCTTGTCTGCTAGCCATCGATTTTTGATTTATAAAAACATATAATCTGAGGGTCTCCAAAATACTTTTTTATGAAAAAACAGAACTGAGATACAACGATTTTTTTCTATGGGAAAAACGGTCCTGAGGTACTTCGATTCTTTTAATAGAAAGTCTCCTTAATACAAGGTTTCCTCAATTATTATTGAGGAGCGTATACGTAACGACGGTACTTATCCGCCCTCATGTTCTCCATTTCGAATTACCATTGTGTGCTTGATATTTTTCATCCTGATCGGGTTTTCAACGAATTTTTATCAATAATTTTTTTCTGATTGGCTACATTTTTGATATAGGAGAAAATTGGTCCAGTGGCCCTACAAAATGTTCAAAATAGCCCTGAGGTCTACTGTTTTTTTTTTTTTTTATTAGAAATAAATAGTTTGCTGCTTACGGGTTTTCTGCAATTTATTTTCTGCAGAAAATGTTGAGGCCTGTCGTTCTTTGGGACTGTGATAATTTCGAGAAACTGGAACACATTTTCTCACGGGAAAAATTTGCAATCCTCAGTTTTCACAGTTAACATTGAGGGAACGTATACTTAACGTCAGCACTAATCCGCCACCATTCTTTGCGAATTATTTCCTACGATTATAAAAACGAAGCAGTCCAGAGGTCTTGCGAATTTTTTCAATGGGAAATCTGTTGCAAATTTTTGTTCTATAGAAAAAAGGCAGTCTCGGGGTTCAGCGATTTTTTTAGTGAAAAAAAAAACATTTTTGAGGGTCTGGGAATTTTTTATTTTTCAAAAAAGGCAGTCCTAAGGGTCCGCTTTTTTCTATAAAAAAAAACATTCTTAAAGGTCTGCTAATTTTTTTTGGTAGACAAAATCACAATTTAGTTTCTGCGCATTTTTTTCGTTAGAAAAGCAGACCAGTTCTAGGGTCCTACAATTTGTTCTATAAAAAACATTCCTAGGGTCCTGCAAATGTTTTTCTTAACCAAAAAATCTTTCCTGAGGGTCTGTGAAGTTTCTTCTATAAAAAGAAAGCAGTCCTGCGAATTTTTGTTACAGAAAAAAAAACAATGCAAAAAATGTACCGTATTCCTGCGATCTTTTTTTCGGTTTCCTAATTCTTTCTTAGCTTTTAATGTCTGAAATTTTTAATTTTGTCCTCAGTGTCGTATGCATTGCGACAACACGCATACGCCAAGGAGCACTTCATTGATCATTGTTAGCTTATCTATTTCGGTATTTATTCCCTGTTCTAATCACCCCATCCTAATCTAACCTGGCAAACATTGTATCGCAAAACAATAAACCACACGAAAAAAACACCAGAAGAGAACTCCAAAGCAACGCATTAAAGCAAAAGGATAATGAATGTCGACTATTACAATAGACGTTTGAACAAACATATTCTTGTAAATCTCTGCATGGGCACACATAGATCCTGAACACTTAAGTGGGCATGTGTGTGTGTGTCTGCTTTCGTGTGCATTTTATATGCTACCCCAAGGACATCCGACAATAGATAGCTCGTGTTCCCACTCTTGTATTTCCTCTGTAGACTCACACACATAAGTGTTCGTTTATCTGTGGTTGTTGTTGTTGTATGAATTATGATTAGAAATATTAAAAATAAATTTCCTCAAGGCTGTTCTGTCTCCTTAGATTATTAGTTTATATGGGTATGAAACAGCGGGAGAGCGTAAATATATTTGCTACACTTTGGCAGGATGTAAAAAAATGTACAAAACAAAGGGGAAGGATGGTGTGAAGGATGTGGCTTGCTTGGCAATAATTGTCAGAGGAAATAAGTTATTAAAGACAGAGATTTCTAGTTGCCACAATTTTATGTAAAGGAATGGGGATATTATGGGGGTGGAGGAATAGGAGAACGATGGAGAGTTTATTTTGAAAGGAAATTCTTTTTATACCCTTCACCACAGAGTATTATGTCTTTGTGCATATGTTTGTAACAGGCAAAAGGATACGAGATAGACACATGGTTTCTTTTGAGAATATGCATAGAATCACTTTCAAAGTCGATTTATGCATGTCCGTTCGTCCGTCTGTTGGTGTTAAATTGTAAACAAAGTACAGGTCGCATTTATGATCCGATTTGGATGAAATTTGGCACAAGTCACTTATTTGGCCCAAGGACGAACCCTGTTGAAATTGAAAAAAATCGGTTAAGATTTAGATATAGCTCCCATATATATTTTCATCCGATTTAAGGTAAATGGGGCACCAAAGTCCCTCTATATCATTCTATTTGCACGAAATTTGGCATAGCGTACTGAATTGAGCCTAGAATGATGTCTGCCAAGTTTCGAGAAAATCGGTCCAGATTTCTATATAGCTCCCATATATAGTTTCGTCCGACTTCATGTAAATGGTGCACCAGTGTCCCTATTTATCCTTCGATTTGCACGGAATTTGGCATCACGTACTGAATTGAGTCTAGAATGATGTCTGCCAAGTTTCGAGAAAATTGGTCAAGGTTTAGATATAGCTCCCATATATAGTTTCGTCCGATTTCATGTGCACCAAAGTCCCTGTATATATACTTCGATTTGCACGAAATTGGGCATAGCGTACTGAATTGAGTCTAGAATGATGTGTGCAAAGTTTTGTGAAAATCGGTTCAGATTTAGATATAGCTCCCATATATATTTTCGTCCGACTTTATGTAAATAGTGCACCAATGTCCCTATATATCACTCGATTTGCATGAAATTTGGCATAGCGTACTGAATTGAGTCTAGAATGATGTGTGTTAAGTTTCATGAAAACAGGTCCAGATTTAGATATAGCTCCCGCATATATTTTCGTCCGATTTTATGTAAATGGTGCACCAATGTCCCTATATATCACTCGATTTGCACGAAATTTGGCATAGCGTACTGAATTGAGTCTAGAATGATGTGTGCTAAGTTTCGTGGAAATCGGTTCAGATTTATATATAGCCTCCATATATATTTTCGTCTGTAAATGGTGCACCAAAGACCCTATATATTCTTCGATTTGCACGAAATTTGGCATAGCGTTCTGAATTGAGTCTAGAATGATGTGTGCTAAGTTTCGTGGAAATCGGTTCAGATTTAGATATAGGTCCCATATATATTTTCGTCCGATTTTATGTAAATGGTGCACCAAAGACCCTCTATATTCTCCGATTTACACGAAATTGGGCATAGCGTACTGAATTGAGTCTAGAATGATGTGTGCTAAGTTTCATGAAAATAGGTCCAGATTTAGATATAGCTCCCGCATATATTTTCGTCCGATTTTATGTAAATGGTGCACCAATTTCCCTATATTTCACTCGATTTGCACGAAAGTTTCGTGGAAATCGGTTCAGATTTAAATATAGCTCCCATATATATTTTCATCCGATTTTATGTAAATAGTGCACCGAAGTCCATATATATTTTTGGATTTTTACGAAATTTTGGCATAGCGTAGAACAATGTGCGACAAGCTTCGTGAATATTGTTCCAGATTTAGATATAGCTCTCATATATTTCTTTCGTGAAAATCGGTTCAATTTAGCATAGGTTCCAGAAAGGCATAAAGATCTTCTATTCAAGTTCGTTGAATTTGATGCCAAGGTTCTTTCAAAAAGGCGGAGTCTGTTAGGAGACATATGTAGAATATACCCAAAGTGGTGAAGGGTATTATAAAGTCGGTCCAGTCCGACTTTACTACTCTCCTTACTGGTTTTTTTAAATAAATCTATCAGGATATTAATATATTTTCTATGGAGAAAATAGGTTTTGGAGAACTGCTAGTCTGTCTCTATAGAAAAGATAAGACCTTCAGGACTAAAATTTTTCTAAATAAAAAAATCAGTCCCGAAGAAACAATAGCGGTTATTCCAACGATTTAGAATTCTTCATAATCAGTCTTCTTGTTCAAAGGCAAATCGAAATAAAAATTAAATCATTTATGGACAATGTGGCGTATACGTTTTGACAACAGCAATACGCCATGGTGTACCTCAAAAATTGAAGAAATCCTCTTTTGTAAACCTAACCACACAATTTAAATTTAAAATTAAATAATTTTTTTCTCTCCTCCTCTTTTTTCTTCCCTTTTTCCAGTTCTGGACATTCAACAATGAAACAAAACAAATCCGCCATGGCTCATCGGACAAGTGTTTGGCGATTAATGAAAAACGTGATAAAATCGTTATGGAAGAGTGTAATGGTGGCCAGCTGCGTCAACAATGGCGTTTGGAAAATTACGACCCATCGAAATTGTGAGGTTACTTTTTTGGGAATGGTACCCAATTTATACCAACCTCACTGATGCAGCAGCACAATAGTAACTATGGCCAATGGAAATAGCAAAAATTGAAAACCCGCAAATGGAAACGCAACCATTACAAACGACAACAACAATAATCACAAAAACAAATATATACACAAATGTGCAATAATTTTCAAAGGAAATTTTGTAAACAAAGGAAAAACAAAAGACAAAGGATTTTTGTTTTTGTATAAAAAGAAAAGCCTAAAGCTATAAATAAATGACTGTTTGTAGTAAAAAGTAGAAAGTAAAAAAAATGAAAACTATGAGAAAACAAAATGTGAGTCCCGTAGTAAAAGTGAAAATATAATTTTAATAATATTTAAGTTAGTGTTTAATAATTTTTTTAGTTAAATTTGTTTTGTTTTTGAATGAAAGGAATTTTATTTTTAATTCTAATACATTTTTTGATAGGTTTTTTTAATTTTCTGTAAAGAAATGGGAAAGAAATCTTCCCAATACTCTTTGCAATATTCTATTACAAAGTGATGACAAACAAAGGCAATTTCGATAGTTTCTTAATATCAAAATATCTTCATATTCTCCCAAGAAATTTAAAATCTATAATCTAATTCGAAAAAATCTATTATTTGTTTCAAATGTCTAAAATCGTTACACATTAAGTTACTTTAAAATTGTCCCTTGTGCCGTATAAGTTATGACAACAACAATACGTCCTGGTGTTCGATAGAAACAAACACATTTTTGAGTATACTTTTAAGGGCAATTTCAATAGGAATTGTCATACATTTTTGTGCATCGTTTCGTATACGTCTTGACAACATCAATACGCCCGGTGTACAGGGTTGCCCATATTCAACGGATCCATGTTTTTTTTTTTAAATCAAAGAAAAAATAAAAATTTGGCGGTTGGCAATGTTAATCATTTAATTTGTTCCAAATAGATTTGTTTACATCAATTTTTGAATACGATATCTCTCAAATGGCCGCCTCTGGCTTTGATGACGTATTGTGCCCTTTTTGCTGCATTTTCCATCGTTATTGCCAACATTTCGGCCGGAATAGCGACTATTTCTTCACGAATGTTGTCCTTGAGCTCTTCTACGGTCCTTGGCTTGTTAACGTAAACCTTTGACTTCAAATATCCGCACAAGAAGAAGTCAGGCGGCGTCAAATCGGGCGAACGCGGTGGCCAGTCCAAATCACCACTTTTCGACATCAAACGGCCCGGAAACAAATTCTTCAGAAAATCGATTGTTATGCGACTTGTGTGCGGTGGAGCGCCGTCTTGCTGAAACCAGAACTGCCTCATACGCTTTCAACGAATAATTGGCATCACAAAATTGGTCATCATGTCGCGATTTTGGAAGAAAAACGAAAAAAAAACATTTTCATTTTTTAAGAAAATCGGCGCAATGACCGTTTTCGCACTAACGCCGCACCAAACTGTGACTTTTTCGTCATGAAGAGGCACTTCTTGAATCTCCTGAGGATTTTCAGTGGCGTAAAAACGGCAATTTTGCTTATTTACGGTCCCATTCAATGTGAAATGGGCTTCATCGGTCATGAAAATTTTGTTCCAAAATTGCTCGTCATCTTCGGCCATTTCGATGACTCTTTTTGGCCCATTCCAATTGACGAGGCTTATCCGCAGGCAACATTCTTTGCGTCAATTGAATTTTGTACGGGAACAAATGCAAATAAATGCGAATAATCCGTTGTAAAGTGGAGCCATGCCCAACTGCTGAGAACGGCGTTTTTGGGATGTTCTTGGGGACCTCTCAACACTGGCTCGTACGGCAGCGATATTCTCGGCCGATCGCCTTGGTCGACTTTTATATGGCCTCTTCAGATTAGAAAGAGCCTTACCAGTCGAAAGTATGTCATTAAGCGATGTGGCATCTCTGTCAAAAGTTATGGCGTTGCTAGATGGGTCCGTCGAATATGGACAACCCTGTATTGCAATAAATGCTTCATTTGGGATAATTTTACGTATGCCGTATCTTAAGATATATTCTATAAAAAAAGATATATATTTAATGATAGAAGAGCAGTAAAGCTATTGACATACCTCAATATCTAGCGTATACATTAGATTCCAATTAAAAGTATTGTATTTATATTTTCCAAAATCTCTGTGAATTAAATTAATTCAAATATTGTCCCGTGTGACGTATACGTTTGGCCATGGTGTACTTTCAAACTTTTTTTCTACATTAAATTTCAATTACAAATATTCTACAAATTTTATATTGAAAAAACAATAGTTCAGCTGCTTATGATCTCTGAAGTATCCTTTATTTCCAATTACAAATATACTATTTACCCTTTCCGAAACTAATGTCAACCAAATTGAATCAAATATTGTCCAGTGTGACGTATACGTTTGGACAATAATAATACGCCATGGTGAACTTTTTTAACTTAACTATGTAACCATTAATTTCGGTTTGAATTCGGAAGGCAAAATGTTTGCTATGAAGAAAAATATAGTCCTTGTATACTTCTTTAACTTAACTATGTAACTATTAATTTCGGTTTGAATTCTGAAGATGAAATTGGTTGCTATAAAGAAAAAAATAGTCCATGTGGCCTACAAAATGTTGTTTTCAAATAAAAATAGTCCCGAAATTGTTTTCTATTGAAAAAAAAATAGTTCTACTGCCTATGACCTTTTTCTGTGAATTATTTTCTGTAGAAAATATTCCGATGTATGATTATTTGGGACTGGCATAGTTTTGTGGGACACAATCCGGTACTGTTTGACAATAGAAAGAAGCCTTATTTCGTAGATTCCTCAGTAAACATTGGGGGAGAGTATACGTAACGGCAGCACTAATCCGCAGCTATGGTAGATACCATTGTATAGGAAAACATTTGTATAGGAAAAAATAATAATATTGAGGCCTACAATTTTTCCTGTTGGAAAAAAAGGTTCTGCTGTCATAGGATTTTTTTCTGTAACTCTGCGATTATTTATAGACTTAAATATAGATCTGTGGGACTGGAATTTGATAAAATAGAATTCGCCGCCGTTCCTCACTAGAAAGATCATCGTCATAGTCGTTATATACAAAAAAACATTCCTATGGTTTAGCGAACTTGTTTAACCTTATTTTTTTCAACACATCATAGTCCCTTAAGAACAAAACTTCTATAAAAATCTAAAATGAAGACTATGAGAGCTCAATATTGAGAAAATAAAAAAAAATCTGAAAGAAATACATAAAATCCTGAATGTTTGTAATTATGAATATGGTTTTACCTTTAATCAAATATAATCAAATATTGTTCCGTGTGACGTATACGTTTGGACAATAGCAATACGGCACGGTGTACTTTTTTAACTTAACTATGTAACCCTTAACTTCGGTTTGAATGCTGGAGACAAAATTGTTTGCTATAAAGAAAAAAATAGTCCTTGTGGGCTACAAAATATTTCCTTTTAAATAAAAATAGTCCCGATATTTTTTCTATTGGAAACAAATACTTCGGCTACTTATGATCTATGATTCTTTGGTACTTGAACAGTTTTTTGGAACTGGCAACTGTCATTCACACTCCTCCGGGATTGGTTTTCAATAGAATTTCGTAGTTTCCTTAATAATAAATAAGGGAGCGTATACGTAACGGCAGCAGTAATCCGCACCCATGTTCTCAATAAAAAAATTCAATTGTGTACTTTTTAAAACTGATACTCTCTCAGCATAGAAAATTTTTCTATAGAAAACAGGGCACCCATGGGTACAATTGTATAGGAAAAAAATTGTCCCGGACACAATTTTTTCAAAAGAAAAAAAAATAATCTTGATGCCTACACATTTTTTTCTTCGGGGCTGGAATAGTTTTGAGGAAGTAGTATTTGATAAAATAAAATTCGCCGCCGTTTATCATTGGAATGATCCTCAATACACAGTTTTTTCAGTTATCATTGAAGCAACGTATACGTAGCGACGAAATTTAAAAAGGAGACGAATGTGCCGTATACGTTATGACAATAGTAATACGCCCAGGTATACCTATTAATATGTGAGTAAAGTTAAAAGATAGATATTTTTCTGTGCGATTTTTAGACTTTATTTCTCAAAATTCAATTAAAAACCAGTGAGCGGAGCAGTATAGTCGGACGGGGCCGACCATATGATACCCTACACAACATCCAAGAAAAACTAATTTTCTGTGCATCTATATTCTGGGCTTGGGCAATATTTCGCGATATTTGAACCATCTGGACCAACTAGGGACCGACAATTATTACTAATGTTCAGTACAACCTTTCTCATTAGTTGTCCAGATTCCCTTCCCTTGTGTTGTGATCTTCTTATTCCCATTGGAGCCTATAGATCGACTCGAAAAAACACAAAAATTAAGTTTTCGGTCCACTTCATCACAATATAATTATCTGATCGTCACCGAAAATTGTAGGCGTTATCCTTGACCATAACTGGAACTTCATGGAACATTTTAAAGCGATCAGCGCTATATTTCCGCCCTCTAGTGTGGTAAAGGGTTACTCAATGATATCTGAATACATAAGCACCTGTAAATATTTAAAATAAATATTGACCGATCCTTATCAAAACAGGCATGCTTATTATTTGGCCCGATTCCCTTCTCTATGTAAAAATTCGCGATGTTTGGGTCATAATTGCGGCCTCTAGAGCGACCAGAAAAACCGATAAAATTAAGTATTTGGTCCATTTCATCCCCTAGATATTAACCGATCTTTACCAAAAACAATAGGGGTCTTCATTGGCCAGAACCCATCCTACATGCAAAATTTCGTGAAGATTGGTCCATAACTGTGGCCTGTATCGTGTTTACAAAATATAATGGACAGACGGACGGACGGACACACATGTCTAGATCGACTCAGCTAGTCGAGATATGACGATCGGTATACTTAAAGGTGGGTCTATGACCAATATTTCGCGGCGTTAGAAACTCTTGGGGTTGCACAAAGCTATAATACCCTGACAACATAGTTGTGTAGGGTATAATGATTATTCTAAAGAGGATATAACTTTTAATGAAAAGTTGCAGGAATTTGAATTATTGTATACTGAAGTGTATAATCATGGCTTCATAGAGCAATAC